CAAAAATATCATCATCACCTTCATCCTCGTTGTAATTGGAGACTCTGGCAGCACGTCGAGTAGAGAAACGGATTTCACCATGTAGTGGCTCGACGCTGGATCCTGATTGCATGAGACGGCGACGCTTTGCCTTTCCAGCGCGCGCCTTTGCGCCTCCGTATTCGTCATCTTCGGATTCTTCGTCAGATGAGGCAGCGGATCGCGAGGGACGTTTGGAGGAACGTTGGGATACTTGACGTCTGCGTTTTGGGCGAGATGCAACGGCATCAGAGTCTGAGCCAGAGGTGGTCTGGATAATCTGCCGGGAGGAACGCGCGCGACCACTTCGACGTAAACCGTATAGATCGGGGTTATCTCGGATATACTGGTCCTCATCGACAGGAGACTTGCGTTTGACACCGTTCGGGGAGGCTTCTGATGAAGAGTTTTCAGATTGTACCGAAGCGGGTGAAACATTGCCAGCATCCTCCATCTCCGAGTCCCCGTCGTTGTCTACCGACCTCGGCGAGTTCTGATCCGAAGAAGAAGCTTGGGGGGACGCAGGTTCTGATGCCACCTCAGCATCGGAAGGGTCTGAAAGCTCACTTTCGCTGTCTGTCATGGCGACATCACCAGCATCACTGAGGGCGTGGTCTGCGGGAGGAGAAGTATGGCCGTTCGGGAGAGAGATCGAGGTCCGATCCGAGGCGGATGGGAACACCATGCTAGTGGCTGTAATGAGGTCAGTCAGCATTGACGTGGCATTGAGGGTCGGGGAGCTAAACAAAGAACAGGATGGGATAGAGCAGACATCCGCGACCGAGATGAAGCTCCAAAGAAGCAGAAAGCAAGCTATATGAAGGAATGAGGGGTAGATTTGATGGATTCACGTGTGTTGGATGATGATCTGATGAAACGAAGATAGAACGGTGACGACGAGACACAAGGCTCCCAACGAGTCAACCACACAAAACGGCGTCATCTATGACGACGGGATAGCATCATCATCACCGCGACACCTCCACCACCAGCTCGAAAGCTAAGTAGGAGAAGAAATTCGGTGTGTTACAAGTGGGTTCAAGTGGAGGATCGAGGTACAGAGATAGGCTGACCGAGAGCTTCGGAGAAAGATCCCCAAGAAAAGCAGACAGATATACTTACAGTCCATAGCCTGGTGGCCCCAAGGCAGAAGGTAGTATTAAGAAAGCAATGATGGGTAGAAGTAGAGATAGTGGGTGGAAGTGGGTTCAAAAGTAGAGAGTAGTTGAGATAGTGTGTTGTGTGATGGGGAGAGTTGAAGGTGGAAAAAGAGAGAGAAGATGAGAATGATGAAGAGAGAGAGAGAAAGACAGAAAGAGGGAAAGCGGCTGTGGTGGAGACGAGGACTGAAAGGGTTTAGCGTGCACGCACCAGGTGGTTGACTGCAAAGGGTTTAGCGGGGTAGTCACATGATTTTCTAAACTTCAGTCGGTGTCTCTCCGGTCCGACTGTTCTTCCGGTTAGCCAATCACATCGTCTACGTTCTTCCTTACTTTTGCCCTATTCTGCCCTTTCTCACCGCCCTTATATCCCACTATGAACATCGTGAGAATCCCCCACTACCATGAATAAACGATCCCACAATCTATTCTTTTCCTTTACTCGAGTCGCAACCACACATCTCGATCTCGGGGTTTATACAGCTCAATCTACGTGAATCTACGAGCTCTGATTTGAGGACTACCTTCTCTTTGAACCCCTTTTCCTTTCCGTTTTACGCTACCATCAACTCAGAATCGAGCCCAAGGACACCAACATCTCGCATATAAACCCGAGCACTCGGACGCCGCCATCATGTCTGACAAGTTGACAAGGTATGTTAATGGAACCCCTTTACATAGACTGAGCGAAACTAATTGTTGGCTGCTCAGAATTGCTATTGTCAACAGCGACAAGGTTAGTCGTCTAGTTACCCCTTAACCATCGATATACCCCGCGAAAACTCGACAATGCTCGGGGAAATAAATCTACAACGTACTAATCCAATATATTACCGATCTTTAGTGCAAACCAAAGGTAATAGCATGGCTTCTAAATATTTTCTAATTCCTTTGCTGACAACCCTCCCTAGAAATGTCGTCAAGAATGTAAAAAGTCCTGCCCGGTGGTCCGCACTGGTAAACTCTGCATCGAAGTCACCCCAGAGTCCAAGATCGCGTTTATCTCCGAACGTCTCTGCATCGGTTGCGGTATCTGTCCAAAAAAATGTCCTTTCGGTGCTATCCATATCATCAACCTACCGACCAACCTCGAGACCCAAGTCACCCACCGCTATTCCGCAAATAGTTTCAAACTTCACCGACTTCCTATGCCCCGACCAGGCCAGGTGCTGGGTTTGGTTGGAACAAACGGAATTGGCAAGAGTACAGCCCTCAAGATTTTGAGTGGAAAGTTGAAACCGAATCTCGGTCGTTATGATAACCCCCCTGACTGGGAGGATATTCTGAAGCACTTCCGCGGTTCAGAGCTCCAGAGTAAGCAATCAGGCAAACATTGCTTTATCAGGATGCTTACCCATGTCTAGACTACTTCACCAAGGTGTTGGAAGACGATCTTAAAGCCGTTGTGAAGCCGCAATATGTCGATCAGATCCCAAGGGCTGTTAAAGGCCCGGTCAAAGAGGTCGAGCCACTCATCAAGGCACGTTCTCAGTTGGGCAACATGGACCACATTATGGACGTTCTAGGTATACTATTATTCATTATCTGTCTGGCACAGTTCAATTGCTAACCTGGCCTCAGAACTCAACCAAGTCAAGGATCGTGACATTGGCCTGCTCTCGGGAGGAGAACTCCAGAGGTTCGCCATTGCTCTCGTTTGTGTGCAGCAAGCCGATGTCTACATGTTCGACGAGCCCTCCTCCTATCTCGATGTTAAGCAACGTCTAAGCGCTGCGCGAACTATTCGGGAACTTCTCCGCCCAGATGACTACGTCATCGTCGTTGAGCACGATTTGTCCGTTCTGGACTATCTATCCGACTTCATCTGCGTTCTGTACGGTCGCCCAGCCGTATACGGTGTTGTAACGCTTCCAGCTTCAGTCCGTGAAGGTATCAACATTTTCCTCGACGGTCACATTCCCACTGAAAATCTTCGGTTCCGTGAAGAATCTCTTACTTTCCGTATCGCCGAAGCCGGAGATGAATTCCTTGTCGACAAAGACCGAGCATTTAGCTACCCCAAGATGGAGAAAACTCTTGGTTCTTTCCATCTCGAGATCGAAAGTGGAAAATTCACCGACTCCGAGATTATCGTGATGATGGGCGAGAACGGTACCGGAAAGACCACCTTCTGTAAGATGTTGGCTGGGGCCGAGAAACCAGATGGGGGGAAGAGTGTTCCTTCGATGAACATCAGCATGAAGCCCCAGAAGATCACACCCAAATTCCAGGGAACTGTCCGGCAGCTCTTCTTCAAGCGTATTAAGGCTGCTTTCCTCTCCCCTCAATTCCAGACGGATGTGTACAAGCCCCTTAAGCTTGATGACTTCATTGACCAGGAAGTTCAGAACCTCTCTGGTGGTGAATTGCAACGTGTGGCCATCGTACTGGCCCTTGGAATTCCCGCCGATATCTACCTGATCGATGAGCCCAGCGCGTACCTAGATTCTGAGCAGCGTATCATTGCTGCCAGGGTCATCAAGCGTTTCATCATGCACACCAAGAAGACCGCCTTCATCGTCGAGCACGATTTCATCATGGCAACCTACCTAGCAGACCGCGTCATCGTGTTCGACGGCAAGCCATCTGTCGATGCGAAGGCAAACACCCCCGAGTCTCTCCTCACCGGATGCAACAAGTTCCTCCGAAACTTGGACGTCACCTTCCGCCGTGACCCGAACAGCTACCGCCCCCGTATCAACAAGAACAACTCTCAGCTAGACCAGGAGCAGAAGCTTAACGGCCACTACGTAAGTTTATTCTTCATCACCCCTTCAGACCCCAAACTACATGCTAACAAAAACACTATTAGTTCTTCCTGGAAGATGAGAGTTGAAGAGGGCATCCCACGCAAGAATAATCATGATCCCTATCATGATCGCGACCCTTACCAACAGCGACGCCGGAAACGGCAATTGTATCGATACTCCAGCTCCAAAATCGGCGTTCTTGTAGCATTTTCCGGCGTTGGGAAGGGCGCTAGCAGACGGAAGAGACGGTCCACGACTGGTCTTCTCGATGAGGAGGCGTCGGCTGGAGAGGATGACGACGACGAGGATGAAGACTATGGCCTGGATTCTCTCAAGAGCAATTCATTACCTGTCTATTGTTTGGGGGTGCGCTTTTCTCATCGGCGTATTAATACGTTGCTATGCTTGGTCTTATCTGGGAATCGTGGGTATTATTATCCCTCTTTTCGCACACCTCGTCGTTGAAAGGGCAGATTGCGATACCTACGCGCCACCAGCAAAAGATACCAGCGCCCATCCCGACATAGGCGGACGGGATTGGAGCGACTAGCCACGCTGGCGCCAACGTGCTCGGGCTCTAGAGGCGCGGCACGCCATATATGGTTTTATGCGAATTTTGCTGCGTTCTAAAGATATTCATTCTCTTTTGGGTGTTTGGTATTCTCTTCTTCAAAGGACACCACATAACACGACCCATGATACTTCCTCGCCGACCTTTATACGCCACTTCCCAGCCTACGTAGATGTACTAGTGAGTGAGTGAGGTCTGTGGAGTATACTGGGATTTTTATATACTTCTCGTTCGACTTGAATCCTGTTCTTTCTTCTACTAGCTCTAGTCACTCTTTTATCAGCTTTTGAAAAATTTGACCAATTTGACCACCTTGAGCTTCTTCTAACTACTTCCATAACATACGAACGATGATTAAAAAATTATCAAAGTAGAAAGCCAAAACTCGCTCAGCGCCAGAGTAGTTGCGCTCCTACTATGAGTTGGTGATTATGTAATATCTCCCCTCCTTTCCCCTCCAGATTATTTTCACTCTTTCCGAGAACCCGATCATCACTATCTGGTCTTGTGGTCTAGTGGTATGATTCTCGCTTGTGAGTTACACCAATCAAAATCAACAGAGGAAATAATGATCAGTAATACTAACAAAGAATTAATAGCGGGATAAATATGCGAGAGGCCCCGAGTTCGAATCCCGGCAAGACCCCAATTTTTTTTTACTTTTTTTCTATAACTTCGACTTCGCCTGTCCAAGTAGGGGGTAGCTCATCCGGGCTTGGGCCCCGCGATTATGTCCTACTTCCGAATCACTGAGAAAAGAAAGGGTGAGGTTTATATAACACGGTCATGTCAAGCCCTTTCCTCAGGCTCCCAGTCTTAAGTCAAGTCTAGTAAGCCACCTTTGGTTATATATAAAAGAATAAGCACCCACCGCAACGGCAGGAATATATCATGGAACAAGCATAAATTTTTAAATTTAATACAGCTATTGCCAGTAATCGGCTTCGAAACTACAAAGAAGTTGGATAGACTACTTACGAGCTTGAATTTGAAATTGCCAACCCATCCTATACCTCCTCCAAACACACAAAGTATCTGCTCCCCGACTCTGCTCCTTTAGCTGCATCATAAACCCCAAAAGGCGGATATGAAAAGAGAGGAATCATATCTAGCTGTAATAAACCAGAACATACCTATCTCGTCTGCTCGGGCGGCGTGAACAGATATGCCTTCAATCCTCCTCAATCTCACCCTCCTCACTCCCAGAATGAATGGCTTTCTCCTCTTTCTTCTTCTGAGCCTCGATCGCAGCCTTATCAGGGGTCCGACCCCTATCTGAATCACGCGCCCTATCCTTGTCCCTCGCCCTCTCCCTCTCCTTATCCTTATCCCGCCTCCCACCACCGCCTCTCCTGCTATCAGTCGATCGGTCGCGATCACGTCTATACCTCTTAACACTGCGACTACCCACGCTCTCCCCATCACTATCCCTCCTACGCCGACGTTCCCCGCTCGCAGTCCCCGAAACGCTACGCGTTTCTCCCCCGCCACCACCACCACCGTAGTCAAGCTCATCACGACTTCCTCGCGGATCACCACGCGTACGATACAAACGTTCGCGCTCTTCCTCGCGATCGCGACGTTCACGATCATAGTGCGCTGGGTGGCGACTATCGCGGTCACGGTCTCGATCCCTCTCTCGATCACGGTCACGGTCATCATGCCTTCCAGAACGGGGTGGAGGAGGGGATAATCCACTGGCCTTCCTGTAGGATTTCTCACGATCAGCCTGCGCTTTGCGCCGGTCTGCTTCGTAAGCGTCTGGTTCCGGGGTGCGGCTTGGGCGGCCGGGTCTTCTGTCGCGGTAGGAGTGGCCGTTTCGGTAGTCGCGATCGCTGCGGTCATGATGGTCTCCGCGTCTGCGATCGCGGTCGCGGTCACGGTCACGGTCTCGTTCTTTGTCTAGGTCTTCGTCTTTTTCTTTGAGACGGCGGATCACTTTGTCGAATGCAGTGCGGCGCATATCATCAGATTCGATGGCGCGGTACTCTTCTAGTTTCTCAACTCGTGGCTTGACTTGCTCCCAGGTGTCAGTAATACGGACAGGAGGTTCAAGATGCTTTATACGGGAGCGCAACGCGTCGACTGCACGACGTTGATGGCGGTCTGCGGCATGTTTCTCGTCTTCGGTGCGCCGCTGCACCTTTTCTTGGATGCGTTCAAAAATGAGATGGAGGTTATCGGGGTCGATGTTTGCTGTACGGCGATCAGCGACCATAACAGAGTTAAATTCATCGAATGTTGTTTTCGGGGTTATCTCATAGCGTTTATCCTAGAAGAAGATTATTAGCAATAGAACGTAGATAGGGGTAGAGGGTTCTTACATCCAACACATCGAGTACGTCATTCCGTGGGCCTCTGAGCGCACGTTCCTCGTCTTCGACAGTGTCCCAAAATAGGTCCAAAGGCGTCGATCCAGGTTGACCCAGCATTGCTACATACCGGGGGTCATCCTGAATCAAAGGAAGTACATTCATCCATTTCGATCCTGCCTTAATTTTGCCCTGAGATCTAAGCTCCTTGAGGAGGTCGACGAACTTGTCTCGGTTTTGACGCTCCCGCCTCGCCTTGCTAGTTTTGTGCTGCTGTCGTGCGTCATTGAAAGTACGTTCAAGGGATTTGATGTGATTCTCAAATGCTGTCAGAATGTCTGATTTGGTCAGGGCCTTGAACTTATCGTCCGTTTGAACCCGTTGGTTAGACTGAATAATCCCTTGAGCTTCCGACCAACGGGTATATGGTTCCAAATCCAAAGCCTTCAGGATATCGACAAGGTCTTCCATGGCAGCTTGACGGGTTGCCGCTTCCTTTTCAGCATGAGCTGATTTTAGTTCGACCACATACTCCTCAAAAAGCTGCCTTCTCTCGTTCTCATCAGCCGTTGACCTGAAGATAGTCTCTCCCTCGATGATCGGTCGGATGGTCTTCCAGCGGGTGTAATGCTTGATCTCGGGATGGCTTCTTAGCATGGTACCGAAGTCTGCTCGGAGTTTAGCCAATCTTTCTTTGGCTTTGTCCTTTTCCTGCGAGCGAACCTCGATCACATATTTCTCAAACGCTGCTTTACGGTCTTTCGGGTCCTTCAGAGCTCGATATTGGGGGTCTTTGATCGCCGCACGCATAGTTTGCTCCCAGGACCAATCTGGCTGCACGTTACAGCGGCGTAGAAGCTTCATGAATGCGGATTCTGCTTCCTCGAAAGAAGGATATTCAGGATCGACTTGTTGAGAACCGACCGCAGAGGCTGCAGCCATACCATTCATGTCAGCAGCACCATATCCACCACGGCGGTCGGGCGCACCACGATCATACTCTTCGCGTTCACGTTGTTGGGGGTAGGAAGGAAACGCGCTCGTGCCGCCGGCAACAAAGGTTGGGGCACTATATAAGTCAGTATTGTGAAGTAGAGGGACAGATATTCAAACTTACGCGGGAGCAGCTGGTCTTGGAGGTGGTTGCGCCTGGGCAAGAGCATTCTTGTAAACTTCCGGCATCTCCCACGAACTCTCCTTTGTTTCGCTGTTGGACCAGTATTTCCGACCTCCTTCCGCCGTGTATTCTTTCCATGGTTGATTCGCGAGCGTTCGCTAGAACACCGGGGCATTAGAATAATTCACTCGTATACATAAAGGGCCAAAAAAACTTACCTCGACGGGAGTCATGAGCTCGAATGGTTTGTTCCATTGTGTCGCCTTCGTCTGAACATTGTAGTAGTAAACTCTCCCTTCAGCGTTACGAGCTTCCTGCCAGAGCGCAGGTGGCCCGGGCATGCCGTTCATAGGATTCATCCTCAGTAGAACTCCAGGCGACTCAAAATCTCTCACTGGTTTGTTAAAGTGAGCTTTGGCGGAGTTGGCAGTGAAGACTAAAGCTGAAGAGGGAGAGAGAAATTTGTGAGTTCGGGATTCTTCAAGAGAATCAACAACAATTTAGACGCTACTAGCGCGCCAAGCGCTGCGTTCTCCAACTTTTGCTTCAAACGACGGATCAGAGTTGAACTCGTAAGAACCGAAATTGAATTGCGTACTTACGGGCTCAGGAAGGTTGAAAGTCTATAATGCTATTGACTCTCTTTGCTCTCACTTAACCTCATATTTGGCCATGGTTGAGGCTTTCCCTTTCACTTTGCGATGACGGACTCTCTCCCGGGCGACTTCTTGAGGGACGCAGTTTTAGATACTGTTGTCCCGCACACATCAGATATAGATATTGAGGATGCTATAGGCGCGTCACTTCAAGAGGATGTTGAAGATTCCTCAGCTTTACTGCCTGGCATTAAACAGCGGCCTTTGTTGTTTTTTGGTATGTCAATAATCACCTCTACCCATGAAGACCATCGTCTTACTCATTCTTAGATAAATAGATGAACATGTTACCGTTTACGTTGTCCTCCGACTGTCCGACTGCTCTGAGAGCTTATTAAAAACACAATTGCCCCGATTGCTTATTACAGTGGAAGCGTTTGCTGCTAGCAGCCAGAATGTGGCGGATGGAGATGACGAGAACAATGGGGCGGCAAAGGACCTTATATTTTCAGGGGCGGTCAAAGAGACTGAGGATCCGCTGATTGTCGTGAACGAATTCGAAGATGATGAAGGAGGTGGAAGCCATGTCTTCGTTATATGGAAGGTCAACGCTTTTTTGAGTACGTATGTTCCATTATTGGCGAATATGGGAAGCTAAGACCTCCAAAGACCGCCCGAGAATACGACTCCAGCAGCCGTCAGTGTCATTTATAGCCTCTGCTGCACTGAATCCATCAAAAAACAAACTAGTAGATGCATCCGATGAAGATCAATATCTACCGACCTCTCTCCCAGGATCTCAGAATGTTTTCCAGACCTTATCACAAGACCCTGATCTCAAGAACTCCACCCCCTATCTCCCGGCGTCGAGACTTCTTCGCGTGGTACCTGCTACGCATACCGAGGAACCGATCTATAATATTCAACAGAAAGAGCATCACCCCATTCGTATAATTCCTGCCGCTAGTGCGAGAATCCGATATTCTCGAATTAACACATACTCTGGTAGACCTACAACGATTGCCAGCCTCGATTTTGAAGTCACTCCCTTTGCAAACTTCCAGGTTACTCTGCAGAAAGCCCAGCTTACCCTATCTGATGGTCATGTGGAAGAACTCTCGAATGTCTCTGGACTTGTTCCTCCCATCCAGTGCCGACCTCGGGACAATGTCACTCTCATGTACAAATTGACGCCGGAGTATGGCCCGGAACCCGATCCTCCAACGACTGCAATGGTTAGCATTTTGGAAATTTCTCTTGGAGCCATAATTCAGGTGTCCTCAGACTGTCATCCGCAGGTATCAATGATGTGGAAAACAAATGTTGATTTCTCAACACCGGTCAACCCCACATTCGGCGCACCTAGTCAGGTCCTCCAACGGAACAACCGTCCTGCAAGCCTGTCCATGGCTCCTAACCACGGCGCAAGCTCGTCTATATCTAATACTGCTCCATCAAACCGAAGCTCTCTTCGCGAGCGGGCATACTCGACAACTGAGCTCGGTGTGACTATCTCATTCTCTGGACCACACAGCGTAGAAATAGGCACACCGTTCCGCTGGGACATCTTCATCGTCAACCGCTCTGGGAAGGCCCGTAAATTAGCTCTCGTCGGGATACC